TGTAGATAACAATTGCAGTTTTTACCTTTCATGATGCACAGAGAGAGATTAGAAAAGCAATGCATGCCAATGGAGGCCTATTACAACCCTGAAAGTCACTGCACACAAAGACACTGTATTTCTGTATTTCTTTATGAGTAAGAATCTATCACTTCTAATACATTTACTATTCATGTGGAATAAACAAATGTGGACATCCTATAAATAAGTAGGACTATATGAACAAGCTGTGTAAACATATAAGAAGTGTTTTGAACTAAGACACGGAAACAAGTGTAGCCTACACAGCAGCCAGGACAGAGGACAGGTCATTCCAGTGCTGCAGAGAGCACACTTTCTATATGGGACACAGGAGAAAGTTTAGGAAGTTTGTTAGTGAGGCCATGGGCTCCTCTGGGAGTGACACGGGCCGCAGCAGAACTGTCAGAGAGTGGAGCTAAACCCTGCTCCAGAAAGTCTGCCTCAGTCAGCACTGTGATGAATGAGAGAGCTCCCTGTCTATATAGGCCAAAACATAAGCTCACAACTCAAGAAGAAACTTAACTTATGAGTCACAGTCTCTTTCAGAAGCAAGACAAACTCACAACATACAACTGCACTTTCACTTCAAATGGAACCCACCCCATCCTGCTCTGAATCGCACTATTGTGCTCAGAAGTTAAGGACACCTCCTCCCTCCTTCCTTATCTCTCTCTCTCTGAACAGCTATTTTCTTCAAAAGCACATTTTGAGTAGGGATATGACATGAAAAGGAGGTGCTGTTGACAAAAATACTAAAATGGTGATCAGATTCTAGGACAGAGGTGTCTGCAAAGGAATAGTTTTTTGCAGGACAGCATTCAGGCTCCACCTGTGCTGGGCCTTTGAACCTCCTAAAGGTCATCTTCAAAAAGGCTTTAGCTTCAAAGGTAGAGGCACCATCTACACGTGACCCTCTCCTAATATCCATTCCCAACAATGAATGTAATCCTTATATCGCAATAGTAAAATCAGTAAGACAATATAGGCCATTTTGACTAGACATGTTAACTGAAAATTTTAACCATGTGGCAACAAGAGACAATAAAAAAGGGTGGAAAAAAGACATTGTGAAACAGTAAAATAGATTTTCTGTTAGTAGGTTCTCTAACCTAAAGAAGATTTATTCAATGTGGACAGTGATTCATGTCTCTGCAGCATGATGCACTGTCCTCTGTCTGTATGGATGTGCTGTGCGGTCCATAGAGCGGACATATAATGGCCGTTGGACATGTATGCTCTTCTTTCATGCTATGCACATATTCATGTAAATCAAATTAGCACTGCATAGGCCAACTACACTCACAATATAGGCTACTAATGTATACAACTCAAGTGTGGATGTGGCTACCCCTTTTGACCAAACACATTCATTAGGGCAAGGTGTGTTGCTTTTAAGGACACAAACCCATAATTTTACAGGACACAGCTTTAGTCTGGTTAGTGGAGACTGAACCATCAACTAGACTCTAGAGAAATGAACCAATCTGAAATTTTATGATACAATTACTGAGAAGAATGATTTGACACTTATTCACGATTATTGACTCCATGAAAAAATGTGATGGCAAAAACTGAATGATAAAGTACAGTTAGTGTGGCATAAACAGACAGATAAAAAGAACTTTATATTTGATTCCTTTTAGACAGGATTAGGATAGGATTATAGATTGGATTGAAATTTCTTATTTATCTTCTAAAATTCTCACAGCTGTTATTTTTGAGTCTTTACAATTTTTTATTTGGTCCATATTGAGAATAATCTTGAAATTACTACTATTAACTTTCAGGTTTTAGAGAATGCTTTTACCACTGTGACATTCCCAATGTATGACTACATCACCAGACCAATTAAAATACAGCAGTCCCCCACACTAGTCTCTCTGTTTTAACAAACCGTGCTTCAGTATAGACAAAAGAACGGAGAGGATAGCTTTGTCACATTGTCAGTCGTGTATTTAAGATGATGCTGATGTTGCAGTTTTAGTAATGATGAGCATGTATTAGGAGGTCTGCAGTTGCTCTGTGCACAGTAAAGACACAGAACCCTGAGCTTGTATCGATCTGCATTTTTAAAGTGCACTTACCCAGAAAGCCGCAGGGTTGAGGAGGAGGGGGTGGACACACATGCCCCCCCGAGAGGCCAATTCACTAACCTCTTGCACACCAGCCTGTAGGCTCGGAGACACAACTCCAGCCTGAGAATGACCATCCAGACTCAAAGGCTTTCAGAGCTCATCCTCACCCCTGAGACCACACAGGAAACTACAGACTCTATTGGTATATCAGCAGATAAATCAGCAGACCCTCTCCCCATCTCCCCAGCCCACAGACACCTTCTTCCAGTAACATAAAAACACATATTCACACAGAGTCCAGTCATAATATACAGCAGTGTTTGGACCCAGCACTGACAGTCCTTGACCCAGCAGAGAAATGCTCTGCCAATAAGGATTTGCAAAAGACAAAACAAGACATGAGATTGGAACCAAGGCAAATCAAGATTTTAACATAATTTCTAATATATAAATTAGAGAACAACCAATATTTGTTTTTTTTCATGGCCGATTCCAGTACCGGTTGTTTTGAATTCAGAGAAACCGATGGCTGATAAGCAGATGGCTGATGGCAGATATGGGACAGATTTTGGTCATTTTTCCCAGATTTTGTCATTTAAATTCAGTACAAACTCATTCACAACCTTGCTTTACTACAAACAGGACAAGAGAGCACTGTAGTCATATTTTTTGCAGCACCTCTTTGGACTCAAACTAAATATTTACCTCTGCTTGATACCCTAAAAAGAGCAAATATCTCTAATATAATTTATGTGTTTGAGTGTTTTTTGTTTGTTTGTTTGTTTGTTTGTCTGTTATTCTAGCACTGCCTTTTGTAACTATAAGAGGTATAACTCAAAAGCTCAAAAAAAAAATCTAATGCAAATGTAAACAGTAAACACATGAGAAAAAAAAATCCTCTATCTGCCAGCCAAGTCTGTAAGATTCAAAACAGTCTCATCTCCTCTGCCTTAAGGACTTAATCAAGCTCTGGATTGCATAAGCCATTTTGATGTACAGTTGTATGTTTATATGTTATGTGATCATAAATAAAGATTCAGATTCTGGTTGTAGGAAAGGTAACAGAGATAATGACTGAAAGGCTACAGCCATGCAAAAAATAATATTAACATCCTCAAAAGAATGGATCCTTTATTTATTTATCGCATGCTTAATTTTTGGATGTAGATATAAACACGCACAAGCAAGACGATGGAGCTTGTTCTGGGGTCAAATAGTGAAATCCACAATTGGGAACTCCAAAGAACTGCTGTGTTATTCTACTTTCTTTCTCCACACTCCAAAAGAAATGGCTAAGTGCAGGATGAAGACTTTAACCAATTATCTGTAGCCCTATAGACTTATTGCAATGGCTGCACATTTAATGCCAGAATGGGAAATAAAACAAGACTGAACTCTCTGCTGCTCACATTATGAACAGAGATGAACATTTCTTTCCAAAAATGCTCCTCCTGTTTTGTATTGCATTATTGCGTAACAGAGCATCACTCCTACTGGGTCCTAACATCCTCACAGTAGCCCACAGCAATAGACCATGAACCAGGTCTGTGTGTGGACTGGACTGTGGATACCGGGTGGTCACATGTTTCTGCAGCACCGCTCTGCAGCACCCTCCTCCGGCCCCCACCCGTCCCACAGCCCGTGGCCTGATGGGAGACAGTCTGTGCACCCCTTACCTGTCACTAGACACACCGACATGAATATGAGCAGTCTTCTTAACTGACACAACAGTATATGCACAGAACTCCTCACGTCTCCACGCACTTACATAACAGTTTTTAGTGCTTTGTGTATTTCCCCTTTGAAGAAAAATGGATGACAGAATTGTAATTTGTTATGCACTGCTGCTCTATTTGGGAGTAACACAAATTTCAGTCGGTCAGCTGTGGATGCGCATTGCTGGTCTATCCCTTTGATTTTTACATCATCCTTGGCCACACTGGCATGCATTATGTTTGCGTGCAGAGGGGATGTCATAAATTTAACGGCTCAGCATGTGTGCCAAATGTTTGGGCCGGATTCCATATGCTGTGGTCTTAATTGAGCTGTACAAAGACAAATGCAACAGTTCATCAAGCCGCTGACTCTAAAGTGACAAATAGCCGAGCTTCAGCGGAGTATGAGCCAGGATGAACCGCACTGCGCCCGCATCCACCCAGCACCAACATCGCACACAAAACGCCTCTGCGAACGAATGACAGCATCTCTGGGACTACACTGCCCACCTCCCTGCCGCGTCTCTGCCGCGTCTCTGCCGCCAGTCTGCCGCCTGTGTGCCACTTGTCTGCGGTCAGGGCTCCATCAGCGCGCTGCGGATCACTGACCACAGAAGATGGAGCACTGACCACAGAGAGTAGCCTACCGGAGCGTTCTGTAATGCGGTAAAGTCCCAGCCCTGAGCGCGCGCACGAAAGCCGCAGTAGCGCAGCATCATTACAGCGGGAGACTTACGGTCCTGAGGAACTGGATCTCGTCCTCTGCCTCCCCGCCCTCGGCCATACTGAGCTCCGGTGAAGATGCTCCTGTCGCAACGGAGAGCCCGGGCGCGTGCTCCTGTATGGCTCGTGAGGCTGAAGACGGAGAATCAGATGAAGAGTGGAACTGGAATCTCATTGGGCGCCTCACGCACGCGGAGGGAGGAGCTGCAGGCGGCACAGGTATCTGCGCGTGTGAGCGTGGAGGAGATTGTACGTCTTGTCATTGAGCAATTTAAGGCTTTACAACTATCTCAAAAGAGCAAGTCATGAAGTTGTGTTCAAATGCCCACTCCAGAGCCACAGCATATTTGATTTATTTTGGTCCAAATTCTCAATTATACATTATCCCCATCTATGTCAAGAAATGGCTTTCAGCAACTCTATCCATCTATCAATCACTGAAGAAAGAAAGAATGAGTGAAGCAAATGATGGAAGCTGATTTAATTACTTTTATTTTATAACACAATTTCACACGTAAAAACCTTTAAAATTTACTAAACATGCACAATAGAAATCTAAAATCGGAGCATAATTAGGGCACAGTTTTGCTTTTCATATTGCATAAACTGATTCTAGTTTGTTTGACACCAACTCCACTGAACAAAAATAGTGCTTGTGGTTTATTTATATCAGTCTGATAAAGATAAAAGCTCAGATCGTGAATAAAAGTCCATTGTAGTGAATATAGTCCATATTAGGGCAGACATGAGTCCAGTGTAGCACCTGTGGGTGACTTAGGGCCAGGGTCAAAGTTCAGGGTCATAGGCCAGAATGGGAGCGAGCCACCTCTCCACCTCACACACATCCATGCTTTTCCGCTGGGCATAGTCTTCCACCTGAGAACAATAACAAAAACGGAGATGGTAAATATAGCATTCAAATATCTCAGTCAACCAGTGAACTTATACTTTCAGGGTCCTAGAATACAATGTCATTCTTCCATACTGCATATTGATCTTGTAGTACGTATATGTGAAAATTACACAAATGTTAAACTTAATATAAATCATTTGTGATTTTCCCTTTGAAATTGCTATCAAACAACAATATGCATATCAACAACAGTAATTTTACATATTCCCGTCTTTAGTAAATAAATATTATAGACATTTAAAATATTTTGAAGGCAGTTGGGGGATAGGGTGAATGTGGCACTATAACTGCACTGTAAAGTTCTTTAGGTTACTTTTTTTGTATGAAAGCGTTTTATCAGTAAAGTTTGACTAATTGAATGTTCTAATCTGAAACGCATAAGTCAATGTAAGTATCCAAGTCTCTTCAATTTTTAGTTGTGCGAGTTGGTTCATTGATGTTTAAATGAAGGCTGATGCAGATTATTTAAAAAACAGAAGTCAACTGCTTCTCTCTCAGATTCTGTTCCAGATTCTGTTACAGCTGCAGTGATCTTCCTTGAGCAGTGACACAAATCTTTGCCCACACAAGATCCCACACTGCATTTGATCAGAGGACCAACTGAGCATGTCCTGGTACCTGCTCCTTTGTGATCTTTCCCACAGCGAAGTACGAGGCCTGGGGGTGTGACAGGTACAGTCCTGACACAGATGCTGCAGGTGTCATCGCCAAAGACTCTGTTAGATTGATGCCTGCACACAACAGGTAGTCAAAGAAAACATTTTATTGGAGTTACAACTTGGGTAATTATGTGTGAGCACACTTTTAAGGGGGTTAAGCCAAGGAGAGCATCACACAAAGGACAATGTTGATTAGAGAAGAATACAACTTCCCTCCGGCCTAATTTTAACAAAGTGGCTGCATCTCCAGAAACCAGATCAGCTCTAATCATAAACATAATACTGTCTACCCCTTTATCTCATTGCAGTAATATGCAGATATGAAAGCGTTACCAGTGTTCTGTTGGATGTTGGCCAGGCTCCACATGGTCCTCTTCTCGGTGTGGTCGGGTTGGCTGGGGTAGCCTGCAGCTGGCCTGATGCCCCGGTATTGAATCTTAAGCATCTCTGAGGTCTGGAGGGCTTCCTCTGTGCTGTAGCCCCACAGATCTTTCCTGACGCGGGCATGGAGCTGCTCTGCAAAGGCCTGGATACAGGATTGGAGGAGCAGTACCCATAAACATCATTATTTATATTAGAGGGTACTTCTTGTTAAACATGTACAATAATAAAGTAGCTTACCTCAGCCAGTCGGTCTGCCAGAGCCTTGACCATGATGCTGCTATAGTCATCGCCTTTGCCTTGGAACTGCTGGCTCAGCTCCTCTGCCCCAAACACAGCCACAGAAAAAAGCCCCAGGTAGTCCTTTACACCTGAGTCCAGGGGGGCAATAAAGTCAGACAGGCAGAAGTATGGCTCTGGGCTGGAGGGGTCCTTCTCCGCCTGTCACACAACACATGCTCAGTAAGAGGATAAGCAGCACTCCTGTGTGCTGCAGGGAGGTCCAGATGGAGAGGTACCTGCTGCCGCAGACCATGGAACACAGCTGTTGGCTCAGTCTCTCCAGAAACCTGAACGTCTTCTCTGTACAAGCAGATGTCATCTCCTCGACTCTGAGCCCGCCAGAATCCTACCAAGCCCCGCCCCTTCAGAGTGGATCTGTCAATCATCTGCTGAAGCATCTTCTGGGCGTCATTGAAAAGACGCCGAGCCTCTGAGCCTGCAAAGAACCGGCATCAGTAACAGAGAGCATTTCTCAAGGTCATAGTACCTGGCCAACTAACATACAGGCTCTATTTAAATCAACCTATTAGTCAAATAAACGAGGCCCACAGCCCTGGTACTAACCAACAGTCTTGTCATTGAAGATTTTGGGGTAACCTCTGTTGGGGTACTTCCCTCTGAGCTGCCAAACGTCAAAGAAAGGTTTCCAATCAATGTAGTCCAGGAGACTTTTGAGGTCATAATCATCAAAGACACGAGTGCCAAGGAACTGGGGCTGCACTGTACACACACAACCACAACCCCAGCAGAAAAAGTTATTTATGGCTCAAAGAGTTTAAAGGAGCATGCTTCTGTGACCTAAAACAGAACTTGCGTGAGTCACCTGGTTGTGGTGTGGACTGCCAGTCGATGTGTAAACCATTTTCTCTGGCTTTACTCAGAGACAGATACCGGCGATCCTAAATCCAACAAAGATAAATTGTATACATATAATATAAAATTCTTATTTCATACCATAAATTGTCATTTATAGTTACAGTCAACCACAAAGCTCAGTAACTCCCCAATAACTGTCTTTACATCGATAACGACATTGTGAATAGTGTAAATTAATGGCACTGTACCAGAGTTTTCTTAAAAAGGTGAAAAACAAAACTGGTTCATTTAAAATGATTTGCAATAGTCAAAAGTTATATCTCAGTTACTTTATGAATTCAGATCAGAGACCAGAGCAGAGTTTTGCCATCACGGAAAAGGTAACAGTCTCGGACAATTAAATGCTTTATAAAACTGCTTATGCAATACATCTGTAGTTCTCAGCTACACAGGGAAAAACATCTGGTACAGGGCCCTTGAATATTTCATCAATCAACATCAATAGTTATGATTTCCACAGTTGATAAGTCAGAACCAAATAATTTATTTTGCAATTGATTTAAAACAACAGTACCTTTAAAGAGTCGTAGTGATCCTGTCTGATGTCCTCATACTCCTCTTTGAGCTCATCGAAATACTCATCCTTCTGAGAATCATCCAAGAGCTGTGTGCACTAAATATACATTCCACCCGTCAGTCCCAGGAACTTTACAACAAACATTCATATAAAAATGCGTCCTTACCACCAGCACGGCGCGGGAAGCATCCAAAACATGGACCACAGGAGAGCTGTAGCGAGGGGCAATCTTCACAGCGGTGTGGGTCCTACAGAACAATACAGCTTTACACAGACCAGACACCACACATAATTGGATGTCTATGACTGTAACTTCTATAGACCTGTAGTGCTTATTTTACATAAAGGCCAAGATCTCATCACATTTATTCAGATCACGAAATCCGCACATTAATTAAAGGTGCACTGCGCAACTTTTCTGGTGGTGGGTCTGCTACCTACTTGTCTCCATGAAGATGTTATTGCTTTGCCCGGAATGTTCCAGACAAAGCAATAACATATCATTCAGTATATCTAGCTAGCATTTATTCATTACAGGTGTTTCTATAATTCAAAAATAATATAATTCCTTCTGTGAATAGTGGCGATGCTGTACTGTAGTGCTGCAACCAGCTTGTCTCCCTTGTGATAGATAGATTATATATAATTATATACATAATTATAGACTATGTACTCTGAAACAGGAGTGACAACAATCCCTTTATGTGCTCTGGGACTCTGAGTTGACAGAGAAAGTCTGATAGTGTTAAGACTGGACTTTACTTTGATGTGGTGGCGCCCCCTATCAGCAGGGGTGTACTCATTCCCAGCCGTTCCATCTCTTTGGCCACATGGATCATCTCGTCCAGGGATGGAGTGATGAGTCCAGACAGTCCAATGATGTCTGCACAATGCCAAACACAGGATGTATGACACCAGGGAGTTCATAGTAGCCATACACTTTCCACACCTGCGCGGTTACCTGCACGGTGAGTCATGGCCTCTCGGAGGATCTGATCACATGGAACCATCACACCCAGGTCCACCACTCTGAAAGCACACAAAACTCAAACACATTCTGGGACAGGACAAGCTGACACAGACACACAGTACCTGAAGTTATTACAGCCGAGGACAACACCAACAATGTTTTTGCCAATATCATGAACATCCCCCTTTACTGTGGCTAGGACAATTGTGCCCTGATAGGGATCCTGCATAAGAACAGTCATAAATTATTTTCTGGTGCATTTTAAAGAAGCTTTATTTTATCCATATTCCATAACTAAACTCTTTCAATCATACACCCAAAAAAGAAAAGAAAAACAAAAAAATAGGAGAATTTGTACACTTCTAGGTGCAATGTATTATAGCAAACCTCATGGATCAATATTCCTGTAACAGTCTAATTACTTAAAAAGGCCCAGACTCACAGTTTCCGTAGTTACTCCTGAAGACTTCATCTCCTCTCTCTCCTTTTCCATGAATGGGATCAGATATCCCACAGCCTTCTTCATCACACGAGCAGATTTAATAACCTAAAAACAAAAATTTCAGTCTATAAACTGTGTCTTGATTGTGTCCACTCTCACACTTGAGGACAGTGCCAACCTGAGGCAAAAACATCTTGCCCGCTCCAAACAGGTCCCCCACCACCTTCATGCCATTCATTAGGGGCCCCTCAATGATGTGGAGGGGCCTTGTGTAGTATTCCAGGCACCGGCACTCCTCCACGTCCTCCACAACATATTTCTCCACCCCCTGAGCACACATAATCTTAAGATGAGAACTATTTATTTTCCTTTGCTGCCCTTTCAGAGATTGATAGGCTTCTTGTGCTTTGGTTCATTATTTATTGTCTCAAACTGATGGTAAAAGACTACGGCACATCAACCTACAATATTTCAGCCATTTTACAAGTTTCAAACAGATCTAAGACCATCTATTAAATAACTCAAAATGAAGTAGTGCTGTGTGCTGCTTCTGGACTCCTCTATGGTGATGTGTAGTGTTCTGTGCTCATACTTTGATGAGTGCGTATTCTAGCCTCTCCTCCACTGTGCCCTCTCTCCACTCTTCGCTCTGAACGGTCTTTTTGGCTCCTTTCACATGGTTCTGTTAAAAAGTTCATGGTTAGAGATGGATAGACAGAGCTCTATAGACTCAGACAGTTCCTGCTACCTGTGCGTAGGTCAGCAGCTTCTCTGTGGCCTCAGGGTCTTTGTTCCAAATCAGGTTCTCACAGAGTTCTAACAGTTCTTTGTCAATGTCATCATACACCGGCAGGTTCCCAGCATTCACTATGCCCATATCCAGTCCGTGCTGCAGATGGAGGTATAATTTATAAGTAGCAAGGGCACACTCATCACACGGTTTAAAGGTGTACTAGGTTACTGTTGTGGAGGGGGGTCTGCTGCCTGTTTGCCTCCATATATTTTATTGGTTTTCCTGGACAGTATGGCATTAAGGCTATAGCTGCATTAATTCAATTAGGTATATTTACTCTCCAAAATTGCCTTGAAAAAGCAAGTGGGCTTGCCACCCCTCAGATCTAACCTGCAACTTGGCTTGGTGGTGTCAACTTTGTCTCCATGTAGGTAAGTAGCTTCAATGCCATTTTTGTCAAAAAAATAATATCCCCATGGAGAAAAGCAGGTGTCAAGCACTCCACAATAAAATGTAACATATTACACCTTTAAATACCTATTTAAACAAACAAAAGAAGGAAAAAAGCCTATGCCAGGTCCATGCCAAGCTTTAAGACTTTCAGACAAATTGCAATTCTAGGTCAGTTACACCCAAGCGTATGTACCTTGATGGCATGATAGAGAAAGGCCCCATGCATGGCTTCTCTAATCGCCTCCATCCCACGAAAGGAAAAGGACAGGTTGGACAGTCCTCCACTGACTCTGGCTCTGGGTAATGACTCCTACAAGAATGTAACACTATTAGATTTGTAAACATGAATGAACAAAGGCCTTGACAGTGTTGATCATTAAAGGCAATGGATTTACTTTGATCAGCTGAGTGGCCCTTATAAAGTTGACAGCGTAGTGGTTGTGTTCCTCCATCCCTGTGCCAATGGTCAGAATGTTTGGGTCAAAGATGATGTCATTGGGGTCATATCCCACTTTGTTGACTAACAGCCAGTATGCACGAGAGCAAATCTCCACTTTTCGCTCGGTGTCTGTGGCCTATGGAAACACAACAGATAAGGCTCAGGAGATTTTTAATCACACTTTCAGACAGTTGCTAAAACACTGCACTAAAGAAGAAGGAACAGGGAGTCTGATGAGTGAGTGGAGCAGACCTGTCCCTCCTCATCAAAGGCCATGACAACCACTGCAGCCCCGTAGCGTTTCACTGTGGCAGCTCTCTTAAGGAAGTCCTGCTCCCCCTCTTTCAGACTGATGCTGTTCACGATGCACTTCCCCTGACAGCACTTGAGCCCAGCCTCAATCACAGCAAAATTGGATGAATCTATGCACAAAGGAACCTGAAAGAGAAGAATGTTAATGCTATGGTACAGGAATGGTATAGGTATTGGAATACCAAATGATTATTACTTTATATCCTTGTCATTTGTGCAATCCACAACACATTATGTGCCCTGAAAATCTACATGCCTTACCCTTGCGATATCTGGCTCTGAAGCAATAAAGTTGCAAAATCGAGCCATTGCAGCAGGACCCTCCAGCATGCCTTCATCCATATTTATATCCAAGATCTGAGCCCCCATCTCCACTTGAGCTTTAGCAATGCTTAGAGCCTCCTGAACAGCAGGGGGCAGGCAATTTAGAAAAAAAAGCTCAAAAATGAAATCGGAAAAAACATTAGAAAACATCTCTGACCTCATAGTTTCCTGCCATAATCAGCTTGGCAAACTTGCGTGATCCAGCTACGTTACAGCGTTCACCTATGTTCACAAAGTTGGTGTGTGGGCCTATCCTGAAGGGCTCTAAACCTGAAAAATAAAACATGTTTTTAAAGACGTGGCACAGGGATAACTGGCATAACTGAAAACAATGCGTAAACCTTTGGGAATAAGTGGAACAATTGCTTTAAAGTATTACTGTCAAAACCTTTAGTCATACATGTGAAAGTCAATATAGTGAGACTACAGTTACTACAGTACTATAGTTTGATGTATTAAGTGATAACTGTGTAGGTGTGGCTTGGTTACAGTGAAATAGTAGTTGGCAAGAAATGTATGTTTGGTATAGACAAAATGTTATTGTCAGGTCACAGGGGAGGTCTGAAGGAGAGGGTACCTGAGAGCTGGAGGTACTCCTGATAGAGCTGAGAAGGAGGAGCTCTGGGCACAATGTGTCGCACTGCTTCACTGATGGCTCTGCATGACAGAAGACCACTGTTAGAGATACTCCCCTAGAGGCTGCACCTGGTACTGCAATCTATAATGCGTAACCTGATGTGAGCTGGAGTGGTTCCACAGCAGCCTCCTACGACATTCACCAGTCCATCAACAGCAAACTCCTGCTCACAGGGGTCAAAAACAGTGTGTGAGTTTATACAGCACAGAATACACTTTTTAACTGTTGGGCCACATTACCTTTAAACTGGAAGCAGTCACCTCAGGCGTCTCATCATAGCCCCCAAATGTGTTGGGCAGACCTGACAGCATCATAAGAGGTCATACAGACTTTATACAGACTTCATACACGTTTAATACATCTGATTTATGAATGTTTAAATTCACCTGCATTAGGATAGCACAGCACAAACGCAGATGTGCTCTTGCCAATAGCCTCAATGAATGGTCTCATCTCTGTCGCCCCCAAGGCACAGTTCAGACCCAAACTAGAGACAGAAGACAAACAGTGAGAAGGGCAGGTACACACTGAGGTACAAGTGCAATACAACTCACCAAAGAGGTCTGGAGTGTGCCACACTGACCACAAAGGCCTCACTGGTCTGACCTGACAGCGTCCGGCCACTCCGGTCCACAATAGTCCCTGAAATCTGAAATCCACCACATACAATTAGAACAAATATCTGCACAGAAACCACATCTGAGAGAAGAAACTTACAAAGATAGGCCTCCTCTCATACTTCTCCTCAAATAGTAAATCAATGGCAAATAAGGCAGCCTGGAAGCAAACACACAACTACATAACTGGAAACACTCGTAGGACATGATACGAATATTAAATAGGTAAGCAAGTTAACTAAATTACCTTAGCATTGGCAGTGTCAAAGATTGTTTCCACCAAAAGGATGTCCACTCCTCCATCCAACAGCCCTCGGACCTGCTCAGAATAGGCCTCCACAAGCTCATCAAATGCTGTTCATAATTCAAACTATATGACACAGGTCAAAGGCAAACAGCACATTCTTTTCTGTTCATAATTGAGCAATTCTTACTGATATTCCTGAAGTCTGGCTTTTCCACTGAGGGGGAGACAGACAGCGTTTTGTTGGTGGGGCCCAATGCTCCTGCCACATACCGCTTAGAACCTGATAAAACAGCAGAAAACATGTGAAAACAATAGCAAACTATGTTATTAGGTTCTTTTTCAGACCATACAAGAGCCTAATAACATAAATTATCAGAAGACCAAATGAACCTCATCGGACTACAACAGAAAAGAATCAGAAGGGCACTGCCAGGGCAAAACTGGCTGTTACCACTGTGTCTGAAAACATCGTCTACAGCCTTCCTCGCCAGTTCAGCAGACGCCTTATTCAGTCGATAAGCCTGAACACACAACACAGAGCAACTGTCATTCAACTTGAGTACAGTACAAAGATACAGACTACTGGTCTCACAAACCACACTCTGGAGGCATAATACCATTAAGACTGCATAATTAACAAAAAAATCTAATAAAATTATATTTACTTCTATAAAAGGAAATACCTTTATGACATGAAAATAAATGCATCTCAAAACTGTTAAGAACTAAAGTTATCAGACAGAAAATAACAGTTTGTACAATGCAAGTCAGCTCGTGTCCAAGTTAAAATATAACCAAAATATATGAAGATATATAGAAAATATCTTTCTCATTTTGGAGAGCCATTTCATAGATGGGAGAAACAGTTGATAGCACATTGTTTTAATCTGACATTAAATCAATATTTTGTGTGTGGACACAGAGACAGAGTGCTGAGAGCGTACCAGGTGTTCCAGTCGGTAGTCGGCCTGTGCCACAGACGTGCTGCTGAATGTGTTGGTCTCAATGATGTCGGCTCCAGCCTCAAGGTATTCCTGTCAGAAGAACAAATACCATCACTCCAACACATGCACAGTCTCAGCACCAAATCCCCACTGGTGCCCACACTGGGTACAGTCAAAACAAACTGGACACAACTTTTTGGGGCCATTAGAACCCAGAGAAGCCTCTTTTGTGGGCTTCTGCAACAACTAAGCAGATACACAGATTTTAATTCATTACTAAAAGATAATGAAAGAATCATTAAGTTGGGCTGGAAAGGTGTGAAATTATCAGTATTTAGACTTGGAAAAAAAACTGTTTTCCATAACACATCAGACTGATAACATAAAGCCAGCTAAAATTAAAATATTTTGAGTGGCTGGGTTGAGTGAGCTCTGTAGTACCTTGTGTATTTGATAGATGATGCGTGGCTGTGTTATGCTAAGCAGGTCATTGTTCCCCTTTAGAGGGACAGGGTGGTCTATGAACTCATCCCCTCTGAAGTGCTCCTCCTCCAGCCTGTGCTGCTGGATCATGGTGCCCATGGCTCCGTCCAGGACCAGGATCCTTCGCTGAAGCACCGCACGCAACTCATGCTCCAGAGGACACTGAGACACTGCGGTTTAAAACAGTAATCACTTTAACTCTATCGTAGGCAGATGAGTGTAGTACTCTGCTACTTTTACTGAAGTGCAGTCACTCATATATTTTATATACTAATATATTTTACAGTGTAACAGTAGACTAGTCTAGTAGGCCTACTGTAGTCTACTAGTTAACATTTAATACAAATGTAAAATGTTAACTTGATTAACATGACTGACTGGTGTTCCACCCAAAACATGTCATGTAGCAATGTATTTTAATCAAGAAGAGAACTGTGATAATGACACGGCCTTCAGAACAAATTACTTTGTTATAGGTATTACAATTGATCATCTGAATGCACACGTAGACGTCTGAAGTCTCTTCTAGACCACAGTAACCTCAGATAACCTTATGGGGTGATCGGCGCACTGGCGTGTGCAGTCAGATCGGCATACAAGAGTGCATCAAAGGCCAAATCTCCATATCTTACGACCGGCGTGATTCGCTCAATCTGTCTGCATCATGTTCTATGTCCGAACCACATGTGGATGTAGCCACTTCACTCATTAAACGACTTTTACCTGCGTTTGGAGACAACTCCTGTACCACGTTTGTCGGAGCCATGATCTGCACCCTCCTAGAAAACTGCCCCGCGACTCTTTTGAGGAACACGCTGTAAATGTTGAGGAAAACTTTCACAACTTTAGTATTTCATGAGCCGGCGTTTACGAAACATCCACTTCCGGCCAGGGCATTTCAGAATAAAGGCTCAATTTCTTTGGCACACTCACGGGTTGATTTTTCGCGTTGCATTGTAGCAAAGTAAAAGTAGTAAAGTACTGTACTTAAGTACAGCTACTTAAAAAATGTAGTTAAGTACATTATAAAGTGGATACTTTTTAATTTGTCTTCGCTACAATTGAGAGGAGAAAAACTATTAATTCAGTTGTTTCTGCTGAACGAAATTCACAAATCTGTATCAAAATCACAAAATTTGAAGCTTTATTAGATCTCTTTAGATTAGATTAGATTAGATTATTTTAAATTGATTTTTTCATGTGATCTTATACTTAATATTTTTTTTGTTCTGGTATCTGTAATTTTACTTAAGTGACAAAAATGAGAACTTTTTCCACCACTGATAGTAGCCACATATGCAGCTCCAATTGCAATGTTAAAAAATAAATAAATAAATAAATCAACCTACATACATAATTAACAATACTTCCCAAATTACCTTCTGTTGCTCATCTGATCAAAGACGATCCTGACACCTCAGGATGGAAAGAGAGTGGTCAAGAGAGTAGACAAAGATTAGTCTGCTCTGACAGGCCAAATCCAAGGGTAACCTATGTTTCATGTATAAGTATATGTATATGTTTGCATCCATCCATCCATCCATCCATCCATTTTCGTCCGCTTATCCGGGGCCGGGTCGCGGGGGCAGCAGCCTAAGCAGGGACTCCCAGACTTCCTTCACCCCAGACACGTCCTCCAGCTCCTCCGGGGGGACCCCGAGGCGTTCCCAGGCCAGCCGAGAGACATAGTCCCTCCAGCGTGTCCTGGGTCTTCCCCGGGGCCTCCTCCCGGTGGGACATGCCCGGAACACCTCCCTAGGGAGGCGCCCAGGAGGCATCCGGAACAGATGCCCGAGCCACCTCAACTGGCTCCTCTCGATGTGGAGGAGCAGCGGCTCTACTCCGAGCTCCTCCCGTGTGACTGAGCTCCTCACCCTATCTCTAAGGGAGCGCCCAGCCACCCTACGGAGGAAACTCATTTCGAGCGCTTGTATCCGCGATCTCGTCCTTTCGGTCACTACCCAGAGCTCATGACCATAGGTGAGAGTAGGAACGAAGACTGACCGGTAAATCGAGAGCTTCGCCTTTCGGCTCAGCTCCCTCTTCACCACAACGGTCCGATACAGCGACCGCATCACTGCCGAAGCTGCACCGATCCGCCTGTCAATCTCCCGTTCCGTCCTTCCCTCACTCGTGAACAAGACCCCGAGATACTTGAACTCCTCCACTTGAGGCAAAGACTCCCCACCCACCCGGAGAGGGCAAGCCACCTTTTTCCGGTCGAGAACCATGGCCTCAGACTTAGAAGAGCTGATCTTCATCCCAGCCGCTTCACACTCGGCTGCAAACCGCCCCAGTGCACACTGCAGGTCCTGGCTCGATGAAGCCAACAGGACAACATCATCCGCAAACAGCAGAGATGAAATCCTGTGGTCCCCAAACCGGACCCCCTCCGGCCCCTGACTGCGCCTAGAAATTCTGTCCATAAATACAATGAACAGAACCGGTGACAAAGGGCAGCCCTGGCGGAGTCCAACATGCACCGGGAACAGGTCTGACTTACTGCTGGCAATGCGAACACAGCTCCTGCTCCGGTCATACAGGGACCGGACAGCCCTTAGCAAAGGGCCCCGGACCCCATACTCCCAGAGCACCCCCCACAGGACACCACGAGGGACATGGTCGAATGCCTTCTCCAGATCCACAAAACACATGTGGACTGGTTGGGCAAACTCCCATGAACCCTCGAGCGCCTGATGGAGAGTGTAGAGCTGGTCCAGTGTTCCACGGCCAGGACGAAAACCACACTGCTCTTCCTGGATCCGAGGTTCGACTATCGGCCGGATTCTCCTCTCCAGTACCCTGGCATAGACCTTACCGGGAAGGCTGAGGAGTGTGATCCCCCTATAGTTGGAACACACCCTCCGGTCCCCCGTCTTATACAGAGGGACCACCACCCCGGTTTGCCAGTCCAGAGGTACTGTCCCCGACCGCCACGCGATGTTGAAGAGGCGTGTCAGCCAAGACAGCCCCACAACATCCAGAGACTTAAGGTACTCAGGACGGATCTCATCCAATCCCGGAGCCTTGCCACCAAGGAGCTTTCCAACCACCTCAGTGACTTCAGCCAGGGTGATGGACGAGTCCACCTCCGAGTCCCCAGCCTCGGCCTCCTCGGAGGAGGACGTGACGGTGGGATTGAGGAGATCCTCAAAGTATTCCTTCCACCGCTGGACAACGTCCCCAGTCGAGGTCAGCAGCTCTCCCCCCGCACTGTAAACAGTGTTGGTGAAGAACTTCTTCCCCCTCCTGAGGCGCCGGACGGTTTGCCAGAATCTCTTTGAGGCCGTCCGATAGTCCTCCTCCATGGCCTCCCCGAACTCCTCCCAGCTCCGAGTTTTTGCCTCCGCAACCGCACGGGCTGCAGCACGCTTGGCCCGCCGGTACCCGTCAGCTGCTTTAGGAGTCCCCCGAGCCAGCAAGGCCCGATAGGACTCCTTCAGCTTGACGGCATCCCTTACTTCCGGTGTCCACCACCGGGTTCGGGGATTGCCGCCGCGACAGGCACCACAGACCTTACGCCCACAGCTCCGAGCAGCCGCATCGACAATAGAGGCCGAGAATGAAGCCCACTCGGACTCCATATCTCCAGCCTCCCCCGGAATCCGGGAGAAGTCCTCCCGGAGGTGCGAGTTGAAGGTCCCTCTGACAGAGGGCTCCGCCAGACGTTCCCAACAGACCCTCACTACACGCTTGGGCCTGCCAGGTCTTTCCGGCTTCCTCCTCCGCCAGCGAACCCAACTCACAACCAGGTGGTGATCAGTTGACAGCTCAGCCCCTCTCTTCACCCGAGTATCCAAGACACGCGGCCGGAGATCAGATGACATGACTACAAAGTCGATCATCGACCTCCGGCCTAGGGTGTCCTGGTGCCACGTGCACTTATGGACACCCTTGTGCTCGAACATGGTGTTCGTTATGGACAAACTGTGACTAGCACAGAAGTCCAATAACAAAACACCGCTCGGGTTCAGATCGGGGAGGCCGTTCCTCCCAATCACCCCTCTCCAAGTGTCACTGTCATTGCCCACGTGGGCGTTGAAGTCCCCCAGGAGAACAACGGAGTCCCCGGTCGGTGCACTGTCTAGTACCCCTCCCAAGGACTCCAAGAAGGCCGGGTACTCAGCACTGCTGTTCGGCCCGTAGGCCGACACCACAGTGAGAGACCTGTCCCCGACCCGAAGGCGCAGGGACGCGACCGTCTCGTTCACCGGGGTGAACTCCAACACACGGCGGCTGAGCTGTGGGGCAATGAGCCCACACCAGCCCGCCGCCGCTCCCCGCGGCCAATGCCAGAGAAATGGAGAGTCCAACCCCTCTCAAGGAGTTGGGTTCCAGAGCCCAAACTGTGTGTGGAGGTGTATGTTTGCATACAGACAACCAATTATCAAGTTACATGTGACAATGGTGTTTATTTAAAACAAATAAAACATTTTTTAAAGTGGATAATACAAAGATTGTTGTCTGTCACTATAAGATCAGTCCTCAGTGTTGCCCTTTAGACTTGAGCGTGCGCTCTTCTTCTCTGACTGTCCCATGGCTTTGTACAATTTCTTGCGCAGCTCCCGCTGCCGCTTGGATTTGGCTTCCTCCTGCTGGTTTTTCTGCTGAAGGAACTCTTTGTGCTTGGCATGTTTCATTGTTTGGGCCTTTTTAGTTTTGTAATTATGAACTGTGCCCAGGGCCTGGAGGAGGGCCATCACCTGTAAAAAATCAGCATTGATGAGAGCAGATTCATAGGTTGCTGCAGATGTTTTGACAGCCAAGCTAAGTTCAGTTTAAAACTAAAATTAAAAATACATATAGGCGGACATTTATCAACAAAGCTAATGAGCATGCAGCCTGAGTGCAGAAAGCGCCACTGTCTCTGCGGTTAACATGAAGCTGATAGACATGTCAGCGGACTAAAACAGTTCATCACCGTGTGATATAAAAAGTTATGATGCTAAATTAACATTAGTGAGGGGGATATGTCTTAATAACCCATATAGGTTAAATGCAGGTGAGTGCGCAAATGAAGAGAAGAAATAGCTCAAACTTCAGTAGCTAGACATCTCATATCTGATCGACACAACTAGCCTAGCCCCCGAGAGAGCCTGAAATCCTGATGAAATCCTACAAGACACTGCATGATAAAAGATAGCACAGCGGCTCTTTCTACAGGGTACACGTGCAGTACAACGCGAAGTGATGAAGTCTGATAATTCCCATATATATATGTATATGTTATTTGTGATATGTATATTATACTAAAAAGTACAGGGCTAATAATGAACACCAGAAAAAAAAAAAAAAAAAGCCTCAGAGCATTTGGCTGGATATTGTGGGAAAATATACACAACACAATATAAATAATGCATGTCTCTGTTTTAGACTTGCCTTCCTCTCGTGCGGTTCCCGAATCACACCAGGCCTCTGGAGGTCTCTAGGGGTCTTTCCTTTAGGCTGCTGCTGCTTGGGCTTGCTCTTGAAGGGAAGGGCTTTTTGGAGCTCTTTTGGGATGTGGAGTTTGTTGAAGCGTCTGGGAGCACGCGAAACAGGCTGAAAATACAAACATTCACTGTCATGAACTGTAGTTTATAATAGCATGCACTGGTTTTTAGCTAAAGTGGAACTAAATGTCCACCCACAGCTTGCAAACCCTAGTTTGCATCTAGGGTTGCACAAAAATGCACTAAAATGACCATGTACACAGTTTAGAAGCAAAAAAAAAAGTGTCAAGTCCCAGTTTGCTGAATACAGAGGGCAGTACATGTTAGCAGTGCATACCTTGTACAGAGAGTCTGTGTTAGGCTTATTGCGAATGCCGAGGTCATGTTTGAGCTGGCCCAAGGTCCTCATGCCCGCCCAGCTATCCTTCTGTCCCACAGGCAGCAGCAAATTCGTGATGGCGTTGTACAACTGAGGGACAGTCACTGGATACCAGGAGCGCAGGAAAACTATGTCTGCACAAAACATGATAGAATCACATTTGTTCAACAGGATTGTGCAGGATACATATAACCAGATAGTACTTTTCTCAACAAATTAAAAATAACTTTCTCACCACTCATTAGAAGACGGTCCTCAAAGGTAGCCCTAAAGGCTCCAGGGGGAGTGGACAGGGCCTTTTTGATCTGACCTCTGACCCCTGAGACAGTTCGAATGGAGGCCCCTTCAAACTTGGCCACTTCAAGCACAGTGTTAAACATGCCCTGCCACAACATACACAATCATGTTAATATGACCTCAAAAGTCAGAGCAATGGGGAGTCATAGTATCACCTTAATGAAACAGGTGTTTTTGAAAATCTTGTAAGGGTAACCTAGGAGTTTGAGCTTCTTCACTATAGTTACAGACTTGTCCACATCTAAAATGACTCCTGTGGCTGCAATACGAAAATTAGCCTACAAACATAACACTGTATTAGTACAAAGTGCAATTTTATTAGATACTGCCCAATGAATTAGCACAGCCTACCTTTGTTCCAGCCACAGACTGTAGAGCAATAAAACCGGTTCCCTGTGGAGTGACTGGTCCTAGAGGAATACACATGACACACTTTTAGTTGCAGCATGTAGTTAGTTTACATACATACATACATACGTACATACATTCATACATTCATACAGGACAGAACATATTACATCAATAAATAAGCATAATTCTAGTGGCATTTTGGCTGTGTGATGAAACAAAAAAAAATCTTCAAAAATTATGCTTGAATGTTGTTTTGTTCTTCTGAGGTTGTGTCTCACCCCAGATGGAGGCCCCACAGTGCATGTGCTGTGGAGTGTACTTGAGCAGGCGGTGGCGCCCGTTGTGGTCCTCGATGTGGTACAAGGGGATGGTCTGGAAGCGCCGCCAGCCCAGGGACAGGATCAGGGGGTCCCGAGTCTTCAGGATACGATCATACCAACGATGCTTCTTGAGGCGCATCTGAGGGTCATGTCAACACTTACATTACAATATATACAAAACAATTACATACCTTCTGCATTAAAAGCCAATAATAATTGTGTGGACCAGTCAAATGGGCTCATTCCCAATTTACACTAAAGCTTTAACTACAGAGCACCTACAGTTGCATTACACAGGCAAGATCGGTTTTGTTTTGATATGCATATGCAGCCTGCACTCAATACTGACATCAAGTTGTAAAGTTGACCCTTTTTCAGTTCTAATGACACTTGTGGCATCAGAGGACTGACCTGTAGGTATCCCACGTTGCCTTCACTGGAGCTAAGCCCTCCGAGGATGATGGGATAGTGTGGGTCAAAGTTGGTCACAAACTCACAAGGCAGAGAGGGGATTTCCAGTCGCACATACATGCCCGGTCGGAAGCCTTCATACTGTACTCTGGTCTCATCGTCCATCGCCTCAAACTCGGCACGGTTCAGCTGCACAAAATACATTTACTTCAGAAGGATTCATAAGATAAGAGTCATACAAGCAGTCTTCTTTATAGGGCACCTCAGCCTGTTTTTGCATCTCCTCTTTAAGGTCATCCAAGTACGTGGCTTCTCCGTCATCATACTCTGAGTCGAAACGCTCTTTAAGTCGTCTCTTCTTCTCCAGACGTTTGTTCCTCTGCTCCTCTTCATCAGTCTGCACCAGTGGCTGCTCCTCGTCATCTGCTTCGCTATTACTCTCCACCTACAAAACAACCGGAACATTAACAACAAACATGCACACACACTAGAAACAGACAAACAAAATCAAACCTGTTCCTCTTCCTCTACACTCTGGTTCTTATGGACTTCTCCTGTTTCCAAATCCTCAAAGTCGCCATACAACTCCTCTGAAAATACAACTCAGTTAGTACAAACCATAATCACAGAATTAAACATTAGCCTGTACTATGTGTTGGTGAATGCTTCATCTAAACAGGAACTTGTTGTATTCAATGGTTAGCATACCATCCTCTTTGAGCAGAGTGGCGGCATCCTCACTTTGCTCCCATTTTCCGGTCACAAAGCAGTCCCTGATAGAGTCTAATACCTGCGCATACACACCACCAGACCTTTAGTGACTGAAATGTTCCTTGTCACCTCATTTGCAGAGTGACTCATATCAAGCCAGAGCTGGGAATATTTTGGGGATGCTCTAACCTCCTGTGAATCCCAGTCTTGAGTAGCATTTGGATGGAAGCGTGAGCAGTCCACAGCATCGGCCTGGACTCTTTTATTGTTCTGAGGGCGACTGACTCTGAACAATCCACCAAGCTCCTCATCCACCTCACCATCTTGTGCAGCAGCAGCTTCCACCACTGCAGTCAAACAGTAAACAGGTTAAATACAGAAAAATAAAACAGGTCTTGAGTATTGCAAAGATGTGTGTGACGTGAAAGACTGTACCTGTACCATACACCAGTTTACGAAGATTAGGGGCAGCTTCTTGTTGTCGCAGAAAAGCTTCTGATGCTTTCTGCTGGAGGTCCTCTTTCCAGCGTAAGGCCCCTGCTCAGAATGTTACACAGTTATTATTTAGAAAAGGTAATGACCAAAAAAAAAGGAAATGATTTCTATACTATAAAACTTGGTTTAATCACAAAGGGATGAGGTTTCATAGCCTGAGCAGAGCCTCACCTTGCTCCTCTTCTGAGCCCTCCTCTTCTTCAGAGCCTTGTTCCTCATCTTCTTCTTCTGAGTCTTCCTCATCATCTGAGTCTTCCTCTTCTGAGTCCTCCTCACTCTTCTCCAACTCATCCTCGCTGTCGGCGAATGCTGGGAGCTCTGACGGTGCCTGCTCCACTTTCTGTTTCTTCTGTGGGGGTCCGCTCCCCTCTCTTGTCTGTCTCAAAAACTTGTTTATGTCATCATCTTCCTCATCCTTCTCCTTCTCTTCCTCATCTTGTTCTTCATCTTCCTCCTCATCACTGGAGCTGCTGGCCTGGTCCTGGTTGTCATTGAAGACCACTCTCCTCCTGCTGCGGCCATTCTGTTCGTCCCACACAGTCTCCTCCTGGAGCCTACACAATACACATCATTTGCTTTTAATAATATACAATTTTCATTAATTGGGTAGACTAAGTAAAATAATCTTCACAAGTCTCACCGCTCTTGTTCTACTAAGTCCTCAGAGTTGAGAGTTGCTGAACCACTAAATAGGGAAACCTTACTTGCAGCCATCTTCGCATCTAAAGTGGCATGTGTGTCAAGAAGAGACTGGACAAGCTCTGTAGTAGGACGCACCTCCTCCTGCAAGAACATGACCATATCAAACCAATTAAGAAATACAGAACTAAAAACTAAAATATACCTTAATCTCAACAACACAAATACAACAGTAAAATCAGCAAACACAGCATTATAATCTCCTAACAGCCCTGACAGTTTAGTCTGTTGTGAGCTTTGGTTCTTAGAAATGTACAAAATGCATACATACAATATTTTTGAAACGTGTTTAAAATAAGTCTTTATTTAGCAAGTAGAAATATAATAATGTGCGTTTGTTACTAACGTGCATTACAATCTGGCTACTGCAACTGTTCAATCAGTTTAAATAAATTATATATTTTGCCTTACAGTGTTGTTAGGTTCACCTGTTGTTGCTTGACATGACTTGCAGGCAGGTCCACATAAACTGCATCTTTGTCATAGACCACGCCCCCCACTCCTGCCATGGGGGCATACAGTAGCCGCTCCTTCTCATTCAGAGCCCTCTTCTTTTGTGCGTCTGGCAGCGAGCAGGGGTCCGGAAGAAAGTTCACATCTGACACCTGGTAATCCCCTACTCCTGTCACCCAAAACACAAACTCTTTAGTCACATGAAATGGGACACTTATAGTAACTTATACCACATTCAAGAGATTCACCAGCAATATGAATGTGGCTCTTGTTCTTTAGATATGTCCCTCGCAGGTAGCCGTAGAGAGAAATGGTTCGGTCACACTTTGGTTCAGTCCTGACCTTCTCGGGGTCAGTCAGGTCTTCCATCCTGTCAACACAGGACTATATAATTAAACATAACCAAAAAAACAGTCAGACAGTATGAGACCACATAATATACATCAAATATAGCCAGTTTAGTTATGGCAGACCCCATTATCAAACAAATTTAAGTGTTTCCATGGTAATTTACAGATGTCCCTGAAATCATCCTGCTATGTTCTCTCCCATGCAGTGTGTTGAATGAGTTCAGTCTTTGCACAATAATCATACACTATAACTGTGCCACAGATATTTATTTATTTGTTTATTTAAATAAATAAATATTTATTTATCACAAGAAGACTTTAACCAATAAACTAATCAATATGTGGCTATATGCCCATACTTACCGATCTACTAAGACATAAGGATGGGATGTCTGCCACACCAGAGGACGAAACTTCATCACAGAGATGAAGCGACCAAGATTCTTCACCTCCTGCGTCTGGTACTCCCCGTACACCATACCAGACAAGTAAAACAGCTTGGCACCCTGCACAAGCCATCATGAATCATTGCTACAATACAACCAATAGCCACACAATTTGGTCTTAATGCTGCTCTCTGGATAGCCGTATATGGTAAGAGAATTATGTTTGTTGTCATTGGTTGTATGTATTGGTATCATATGCGCAAAGCCTTTATTAGAGTAGTAGTGAAAGTAGGAAATTTTGAAAAAGAGATTACCTGGTAGACTTCAGTCCAGAAGCGGTGCTTAAGGTTCTTTTTGGTTTTGCGCAGTGTCTTGTTGTTCTTGAAGGCATCAAGGTGAGTGAGCACTCCCATAATGCGAGGGAAGCCATGAACCTGACAAATGTTTAGGAACTCAAAAGTCTCCATCTCAAAACCAAAGCTGGCATCTATGAGCATCAATACCTACAACAATACAAAAAACATTTAGAGATTTGGAAATGTAAACCTCCTCATAACTGAAATCAATAATCTCACTAGGTCAGCAACTTTAGCCAGATCAATCATGGTGTTGATGTCATTGGTGCACTCCATGAAAGTGAGCCGACGCTTCTTCCCTGTAGAGCAGAGATGCACACATGATCAGCACCCCACATCTGCTGACTGGACATGCCAAAACAGCACACGCACCTGAAACAATAGTCACAGGCCCACAGATATCCCCCAGCTTTTGCCTGGTGAAGTTCTTGATCAAACATCGAATCAGTGTAGTTTTGCCCACTTTGGGGGGTCCCATCACCACTATGACCACAGGAGGGGGCTCAAGTGGAGTGCGGTCTACTAAAGGTATGTGGTGCTTCTTAGTCTTTATATCCTGGGCCCTGTGGAAAGTCTTGGCCATGCGGACGGCCGACTGCACACCAAATGCCTTGGGGTTACGCCTGCGCTCATCTTCTTCTGTGGAGGGGCCCTGCTTCCTCAGCTTCTTCTTCTCGGCTTTGGGTCCACTATGTTTTTGCTGGTGCTTCCTCTGTTTCTTCACCTTGCCATCCATTTTGGCCAAGAGCTGCAAAACACAAATACGACGATTGCAGAACAGACAGCTTTATGGATTCAACACTAAACTGTCTCAGTCTCCCTCCAGCTGTGGGGTACACTCATGTCATATCTTCCTCATTATTACTATAAATTAATATGCAGAATTATAACCTTACCAAATGTTGTACAAGCTCTAACTGCCCCGGGATTAATTCTGGAAAGTTCACTCACAATAGTGGAGGCACTGGGCTCAAAACGTCTTGTACATTTTATTGAAGCTGGTAGGTCTGTAGGCTGGTAGGCCCTTTCAGTAAATTTAAAATTTGGGGTTATTAGTTGCTCCTTCACTCTTGTTTGAAGTCTAAAACAGCATCAAACAGAGGTGGACGGGTTGGTGAACGATGCTCCTGCTGTCCTCCCCGTGAACACTGCAGGAGAAACTCCCCTCAACAGCGCTGAAAGGCTTTGCCAAAGCAAACATTATAGTATTATATCAGTACTGTTTAGTCTCTTACCACTGGATAAAACATACTAGATCGTACCTTGGGTTCAGCTGTGGCTCCGGCGGCGTCTTGTTTTCACTGTTCACGTGTGGCTCGGAGCCGGAAGCACATTGTGCAAAGTACAACCGTGTTCGGAGGAAACAAATGTGGTCAATGGTTCCGCCATCTGTGGATTATAGATCTGTGGGACGGGAGACTCGACAACGCTACCTGTGTGACACGTACAACTATAGTTTGTAATACTGATGGCCTGAATAGTATCAACCTCAACCTGTGATCTCCCCATTAATTTGATCGCCAAATGTAGTGCCCATATGATCATCCTCCTCTTCCTCTTATGTTTATGATAAGCCCCCACTAGATGGTAGTCGTGAGTCTGAAATCTTTTGTGGGCTTATATTTTGTCACTCATTTATGTTTATGCATATTGAGTTGATAACAGGTCTTGAGTCATAAAAGTAAGAATCAAAACGTCAATAAGCCTTTTAGCGAGACAGGCTGTAAACAGTCTGGATGGTGTTATTTGGTTCACATATGCAGGCTTTCAAAAATACTGGAACGTTTTATGCTTTTTCCATTTTTAGAACAGTCTTCAGTTTGAATTTACAGTCAAATCAGGGTGCACAGCACCACTTTGGTCTAACAAATAGACCAGTTATTGCGAAGGATGTGTCCTGAACATGAGCAAGTAAGTGAAAGAGGAGAATGTGCTCAAAGTTACTGTAGAGCAGATGAAAGAACTGTCAGAGAAAGCCTGGGTGAAGTCTGGGAGGGCTTGTGTTTAATGGTGTCAGCTGGCAGCAGTTCACAGAAACAGTGCACAACAGTGTAGTGTCTGCTCCACACTTTTATTTAGAGACAGCTTCAACAGAGAAACTTCACAAATGACCCCTCACCTCAGAGTCTGTGTGCCAAGTCCTCTCAAAAGGCTTCATCAGGGCTTCAATAGGAGTAGGCCTAGTATTGACCTGCACGCATTTGACCACATGGTGTAAGGACTGTATTTTGTTTTGTTAGATAGTTTAAAATGACGCTGATCCATCCCTGGAATGGAAACAGGATACGAAGTAACATCCACATGTTCCAGGGAGGTTACATCTATGAGTTGTGCCTGTGCTAATGCAGGAGCTCTTGTGTCTGGGTCTGTAGAGCTCTTGAGAGCCTCTGAACTGCTCCCCACGTCATTCTCACCTGCCTCATAACTACAGAAGACCAACAACAGGTCTGGTTCATATGAGCCCATTATTCATTTCATTCACCTTCCACACTTAGTGGTGGAAAGCTCTCATAGCCATAGCTGCGCCATGGCAGACTTTTAGTCGTCTATCAAATGTAGACAGATTGAACCACCAATCTTTGGGTACACAGTTGGAGTCAGCTGGAAATTGACTGTCATTGATAAAGAACCCATGAAGTGACTCACTAATATAAGATTGTACTAAACAGTCAGGGCTTGGCTCTTTTTGACATCAAATAGACTATCCAAATACATTCTATTTAATGAAAGGAAATGGCATACTTTATCAGCACCTATATTTAAATTTATGACAGATGAGAGTCCAAGGCCTGACCACGCTGCCATAATGTAACCGAACAGATCGAAGCTTCTCTGTTGGTGTGTGTAGGTTGTTACTAATAGCTATGAGCAGTTGTGGTTTGAATTAATGTGGTTTCACAGTCACAAAAAAACTGCAGCTGGCATTGATAAGGAATAATCGTTGATTAGCATAAATGCTCTCCTGTGTGAACATGAGGATATATAGGAAGGACATAGAGAATTACAGAAGCTTGTTTATGGAGTTAGGGCATTGGTGCTTGGTGAGATTTGGGGATGAGAGTGATTTTGGACCTGTGTCATTGGGCAGAGCATCGCAGTCCTCGGCAGATGAATGAGGCTATAACACACAAGCAGGTTTCCACCCCATTGCCTCGGGCAAACCCACTCACTTCTTCATACGCATCATTCAACTGAAGCCAGTTTTACACAAAATAAAGTAGACGTGTGAAACTTGCTTTCCCAATATACAGCCTGCCACATATATATAGCCTATATTATATAAAAATTGCAAATAGGTCATAGGTATTGTTTTCACATAAAGACAGAACCGAACAACAAAAATAAAAACAAAATATACAAATAATTAAAAAACTGTGAGAGTATAAATTACATTCTAAATGATTAAACATTTATATAGACAACAAAAAAAAAACACTGTCTCACTACTCAGTCCAAGTTTCATTCCTCACTCTCCCCAAGTATCTTATAGCACGCAGCACTTTAATCCTCTGTCTCCACAGGTTTACTGTGTTTTAGGTTCCTTCCCCAACTTCAAAATGAGCCAGGCACATGCCACCAGCACATTACACAGTAATTATACACACTGTCATTACTCTGATTTCTCAGAAATGGCACTTGTCCCTTGTCCCCAGCAGACAAAGTCTGACTGATATGGTAACCAGCCCTGCAGTATAGAATTTTTTTTTTTCATATTGGAAAAAACAAAACAAAACAAAGGGCAGTCACATAAAGCATGTATTAAAGTAGATTTTTATGGAGCCTTGACTGGGTGTAATCTTTTATTCCAAGTTTCCCTGATGTACTGCCCATTGTTTCATCTTCACATATAAAACTGAAAAAAATATTTCTCCCTCTTTTTTAGAGATGCCATTTTAACCCATGGGGTTAAAAAAAACTGCAACAAACAATGTTCTAATTAAAAAGTGTTGTGTAGAGACAGACTTTAGTTGGGTGAGCTTTGTTGTTTAAAAAAAACATGTATAAATATATATATATATATATATATATATATATATATATATATATATATATATATATATATATATATATATATATATATATATATATATATATATATATATATATATAAAGTCTATATTATAATGTTGACAGGAATTGGAGCATTTCTAGCCTACAGCACAGTGACCACCAAGAACCTAACCAAGTGACTCCTAATACTTAAAACAGAAATGTATTGAATGAATTAAAGAGTGATATTGTAAGACCTGGGCAGTAGCAGAAATATTTTTAACAGACAGAGCCACATGATCCCTACACTAGGACAATGTTCTGTGCGGCGCACGCTGAAGATTCTTATATGGTCCACATGAGGAATCAGGATTTGATTGAAGGGAATAGGATAATACCACTCATTGAGCAGAGACAGATGATGCTTTTTCATGATACAGACACATCAACACTGTAAATGTGGGGATTATTGCCGGTGCTGCTGTACCAGGAGTATATAGAGTTTGATGTCACTACATGTCTCTGTTATTGTCTGAATGTGTTGACATGTGTGTCACTACACTAAGTATCACTTCAAACTAAATATGTCCATTTGAATTCTCAAGTGAGCAGGGGCCCTGGTGAACCCCAGATCTGAATATTACTGTTCTGGTTCATACCTGAGTCCAGCCATTATGATGACAGCAGGTGTAAAGCCAAAGGTACAGTATAGAACCTTGTCAGATTACGCCGTGACACTGACAGCTGACACTTCCATAGTTATGTCAGGAATGTGTGCTAGGAGCCCTTCACTTCCACTGTCCCATTACTGTACCCCCTCATGCCCTCGTATGTCATCTATCTGTCCGTTCCCCCGCCAGGAAAGAGCAGCTTCCACACGTAAGCTGCCAGGGCCACACTGCTGCACTACGAGGGCCCCTGTCAGAACCTGGAGGGCCCCTGACAGAGCCTGGAGGGCTGCGCTGACTCGGTGTGGTATGGACAAAGTGAGCCGTCGCATCAGTCTCCATTATGGCCCTGTGTTGGCGCTGCTGTCGTGTTCCTGTGGTACGCCAATGGAGAGCCTGTCTCATACATCATCAGGGACAAAGGCCAGGCTGTGGGGAGAAGTCCCCGGGGGGAGGGCCCTTCCTGCCCCCTCCCCCTCCTCAGCATCTCCTGAGCACAGTTCAGACAGTGCTGCCTCATTTGGTCACTTACATGTTTGCTTTGTGTCATGATCAATATATTTATTAATATATGATTATAGGAAACCTATGGCAGAAGGAGCCCTCAGTTATTAATCATCAAATACATATTTACTCCAGTGATTGAGTGACTTTATGACTAGTACACACCTCTGATTATTATTCATTAGCTATATACGTATGTCTAGCTTTTAGACAATCCCTACTGCTTAAAAATGACTTACACAATTCATTTACCCTTCAGACACAGCTGGCACAGTCATTTCTGCATTTGCCTCAGTGCTATAAGGTCCTGTGTTCAATATACAGACCAACATGGCCTTTCTTTCTAGGGATGTATCAGATATCGGTTTCCAAATATCAGTTCAGCTGATATCTTGGTTGGGCCTTTAATTGGATTTAATAAGACTGTTTATGGATTGATTTTGGCCTAGAACATAGCATAATGTTTGAACTTTTATACTCACAAAATGTAAGGATAAATAAGTGTTACATAACACAATTGGATCTCCTGTGCAAAATGTTAACTGTGTTTTAAAGAAATGTGTAATTTTCCCTCCCTGCACTGGTACTGGATAATGTCGGGTATAGGCAGATGCTCAAAGTGAAAGTGTTGTTATCGGTATCAAAACTGAAAAACTGGAAAAGCTGGGATGAACATTTTTACTGATAGACCTATTGGCATCTTTCATTGTTCATGGGACCCTCACATGAGCGTGGAGGTGCAGGAGCCCACAATTGTAGAGGTAATAGCCTCTGCAGCAAAGTCCTAAACAGAGACAAATGAGCCAGTTCCAGCCCATTGTCCCCGGCTGCTCTTGGACTCAGGAGCCCACAGTGATGGAGGGCCATGGGACACAGTTTACCCTGATGACTTTTGGAGCACTGGCCCCTGACAAACACTTAGTATTTGTGTTGCAGGTGCAGATCAAACACAAGCACAAGTGTAGTCTGACCCATGTGAGAGGTGGGACATGAAGATATTTGAGAGGTCAACTCTGTGTTCTCCTAATCCCCTCTGTCCTCTCTTTGTTCGTTGGGACAAACATTAACATAGCTTTATGCAAATATTTTTTCCAGCAGTCTAATGAATTTTGATCTTTGGCTCATGTTGTAGACATTCTTGGCAGGGCGGGCCCCAGGGCCCACATACAGGCTCTTATTGTCAGCTCGTAATAATGATGGGTGTGATGAGAACTGGGCACAAAGGCATCAGTGACAGTTTCTTCATAAACTGCAGGAGAAGATCTTCAGTTTGGTACAGTTTTACCTTTATTTATTTATTTAGCTCAGCTGGGAACAGGTGTTTCCACCTATTGACTATTGACTCCTACAAGTCAATAGCCACACTCTTGCAGATAATGGAAACTAAAAGTGTATCATGATACAATGATAGACAAGATGACACAGTGTGTAACTGGAAGGATGCCCAGCATAACACTGCTTATTTCACTTTTGCCAGGTGACAAATAATGATCTCCCAAAAAAATCTAAAAAACAAAGCGCCTCTGAGACCCGCTGGTATGTGATTATGCAAATATTGGACACACAATCAGTACTTCAGTCAGATCTTTGGCTGCCACTCTGAGGAAGCTATGATAAATGTCCCTTGACTTTTCTGCAATGTGAGTCATGCACATTTTTAAACAGTCAGAATAATGATGGCTTTATGTTTATCCAATAAACACAGCACACATTCACTTATCCAGCATTCATCTCAACATGAACTGATGGAGATCAATGCCATTCAGAGTGCATACAGCAGGCGTCATGGTTATTCACTTCTACTCAACAGTCTTATGCTTCAGACACAAAACAACATAAGTTCATAGGCCGAGGCCTGATTCTCTAAGCCGTGGGCGTGGCTCGAGGCAGAATATTGCAGAAGCAAGAAAAATAATAACATTCTCAAGTCAAGTTTCATACTTTCATACATCTGGCTGTCACAAGTTTGTCTTTTAGGCTTCAATGACTGTGTTAAATATGTCCTCAACAGAGCCAATATTAAAGAGGGGGTATTATGCAAAATCAGCTTTTGGAGCTTTCTGTCATGTTATTGCTGAGTTTCAGATGACAACACAGCATTCTTTAGACCAGTATTAATTAATACAAATGGGGGGCAGTTAAAATTTATATTGTTAAATTTCAGAAATAAGTTGCAATACATTAAGTTCTTGGGTTTGGTCAATAACTGAAAATACCAGGTACAATGTTTTTAATAACAGGAAAATCTGTCTCTGGCCCCAATTTCGGACTATGACATCATCACAAAGAGTCTGCAAACTGCAAACTGTGATAAGACTGTGAAGGGAGTTTGACTCAGAGGTCAGCAACGAATGTTTAAAACCATGTTAATACCTTGTTTTCCTAAACAACGTATTAAAACATGTTAATATGTTGTTTTCAGCAAATTTAGCATTTTCAAAAAAGTAAAGTAAAAGTAAAAGATAACATGGTGATCTAAATGTGTTGTGTTAGTAAATAATAATACCCTATAGAAGTAAAATAACCCCTCTTTAATCTGTGAGAAAATGGTACAGAAAATGACGCGAAAACATAGGCCGAAATTTGAAATATGAACCACAGAGCAGATCAGGCTATTTGGTGGAGAAAGGTCTCTAAGCAACACGTGTGAGCATGAGCCTCATTATTTCCAAAGAGGATGTGGATTCTTTTTGTTCTAAAGCCTCCTATAAAGCAACCCTCAAGCCACACACACACTCACACATGTGAAATCAAACTGCAGCATGTGAAGAGGTGCTTCAGCCGTGGTCCACAGTGCGCACAAGCACCGTGCGTAACCGGAGCGCGCACATCCATTTTTGGTGTGCGCATAGGAAGTGGCTGAGTTGAGTTTTCCCAAAAGGTTTTATTCTCCTGGAGATTACTAGTTTTCTTTGAGCCACATTTGCAGGCATTAACATCATCAGTGATCTAACATTGAAAACAGTTTTTTGTTTGTATGTTTGTTTGTTTTGTTTTAATTAGACCACTAAATGAAAACTGTAACTTGCAGCAGAATCAACAGAGACGTAGTGTTTGTCCACTGGCCCTGGAATAACAGCAACAGTGGGAAATGACACATACAGACTTGGGCTGAAGAGTTCAGTGTCCGAACGGTCCTAACTGCTCGAGCTGGCCTTTCCCTCTTTAAATCATCAGCTCTCACAAAGGCCTTCGGGAAATGTAGTCTTCGTTAGAAAAGTCTTGTGATTGTAGTTGTATTTCAGTCATGGGTCTTTTAGATTTTCGTGCACCACCAGTATTTATATTTAGACGAATTATTTCAGACAACATTCAATTCGTGGACTGTTATAAATACAAACATGGGTGGCTTAATGTTTTGGCGCTTGACGCTTACAAAACTTGTATTCCCATGCTCCTTTGCGGATGCTGCGCAGTGCGCAGACGCTTTGGTCTGGTCACCACCAGAGGGACAGTAGACTGAGGAAAATGATTAGCGTGGACAGCCTTCTCCGCCAAAAGATGAATTCCTTTACCAGTAACATAGACTGGATGATACAGAAGTTTTAATGTTCTGAGACGTAAACGAGAACGCGTCGAAGCACTCTGTGGACAACGGTGGGAAAACGGAACGGTACGCGTCAGTGCCAGGAATACCGTTAACTGTCTGCAGGATGCCGCGGGACAGAACTCCTCTCATCCAGAAGATCGCCAAACAGGCTTCTATCACCTTTAAAGACTGTCTGTCCAAAGACAATGGAGAGCACAAGCCGCTCCCCGAACAACACAAACAGCTCATCTCCCTCGTAACCGCGCTCAGAGCTGCGGATCTCAAATTAGCTCCCCGGAAAAGCAACCGCCCTGGACCAGAAGGGGCCCAGAGCCCGCCCGTGACTTACATGCACATCTGTGAAACCCCAGTGTTTAGCATGGGCGTGTTTATCCTCCGCACAGGCACCTCTATCCCACTGCACGACCACCCGGGAATGAACGGCATGATAAAGGTAGTCACTAGACTACAACTTTGGCTATGCATGATCTCACTGTAAGACCCAAACCAGACCTTGCCGTAATAATGCACTGTTAACCTAGTTTGACCTTGTTTTAAGCTACCATTTAATAAAGGTTGCTTTATTATCCAAATATAATGTATTAGAGTACCTTTCAGATGGATGTACATATATTTTGAATGAATTACTACAGTACAAGAACCAAAACACTGCGTACTCTTGTTTGGAAGGTGTACAGAAAGCTTGTTTCATCCAGTCATGCCAGAAACTGTTGAAACAAAAGCTACATTTTCACTAGTGGGTTCCATTGGCAGAGATGTGGACTTGCAAGTCTGGACTCAGAAAGAAACTATTTTGATATGAGACTTGACTTGATCAAATGGAAAACATCTTCAACTTGAATGTCAGTGGCATATAACTTGACCTGTAACCTCTTTCTATACAGTTAATAGTCAGATGCACTTTCAGTGCTGGAACATGCCTCTTGTGACTTCTGTACTCTAAATAATTTGTAAAATGTACTTGAAATTCACAGCAGAGGACTTATGACTTAACTTGGGGTTGTGGGCCAATGACTTGACACTTGACTCGAACTTGAGGACAAAGTGTACCAGTACTTTCTTGTATTGATGATGATCTACGATCATGATCGATAACAATGGGGACCTCAAAGGTTGTCCACACAACAAGCATAAAAGAAAATTGTGTTGGAAATTAACTTCACATAATTTATTTGCATCATTTACTACTCTGAATCAGCACTGACACACATGACATATTCTTTTGAACTGAGAATGACGATTCTGTGGCCATACCAGCTTGTCAAAGCCTGAATCTGTCAGATCTCAGAAGCTAAGCAGGCTGGGCCTCGGTAGTACTTGGATGGGAGGAATTCCAGGTGCCACAGTGGGGAGCCAGTGGCAAAAACTGTCATTGTGTCCTTAGGCAAGACACTTCACCCACATTGCCTAGTATTAAAGTGGTGTGTGTGTGTGAGTGATGGTGGTGGTCGGAGGGGCCGATGGCGCAGATTGGCAGCCTCGCTTCTGTCAGTCTGTCCCAGGGCAGCTGTGGCTACAGTAGTAGCTTACCACCACTGAGTGTGAAGTGACTGAATAATGAACTGTAAAGCGCTTTGGGTATCTTGAAAGGCGTTATATAAATGCAATCAATCAATGAACTGAGAATGACGATTATACACAGGCACAGTATAATTTTTGGATAAATAGGGCTGTGCAGACTTTGGGAATGACTAATCTAGAAGAATAATGCCTTATACCTGACACTTGTAATGCACTTTACAGACTCAAGGCCTCTCAAAGTGCTACACTGAAGTCATTATTCATTTATTCCATACTCTCTTGCCGTAAGCTACTATTGTAACCCACACTTTGCCTTGTGGAAACAAGTCAACACTTCATGTTCACATGTTCATTATTTTACATATTCAGTGTTTTTTTGTGTGTACTTGAATGGTGCAGTAACACTTGTATGATCTTTATGTTTAGGTGCTGTATGGGAAGGTGGGTGTGCGCTGCTTTGACAAACTGGACTCTGATGGAGCGGTGCCCCCTGTGTTTGAGCCGCCCCTGAGTCATTCACAGGTCCCGTCTCTTTGCCGCTCTATGCTGCACTGTGTGTCTGAGTACTCTGCCAGCAGTCCCCCCTGTCTACTCACTCCCCAACGAGACAACTTGCACCAGATTGAAGCATTAGGGGGGCCTGCTGCCTTCCTGGACATCTTGGCACCCCCCTATGACCCTGACAATAACCGAGACTGTCACTACTACAGAGTCCTGCAGGTCTCAGCCCCAAGCTCTGAGTCTCCAGAGGAAACATGGCTTTTAGAGATTCCTCAGCCAGAGGACTTCTGGTGTGGGGGCCAGGCTTACCCCGGGCCCCCAGTGTCAGTGTGAGGAGTGACTTGTGTCTCAGAATGCACCCTGCAGCTCGGTGCGTCTGGGTAAGTGGATGTGAAGACGAGTGCTTACAGTTGGATAATGCAACAGGGTTTGGACAGAGTTTTTCCTGGACCTCATAAACACTAATATCAGACTTAAATGTTACAGTATTCATTTTCTAAAGCAACTATTCCATCTTCTCTGATTAAAATTCAATGCAATGTGCATTAAATGTTTTAATTTGAAGCAAGAGCTAACATTCCAAAGCAGCTTGCTTTATTCAGTGCAGTGTTTTCAGAAAGACTGTTAGCGGTTGGAATGACAGAAAAGCACACGTTTGGTTTACCCAGCTAGAGCCGACTGGACCAAGCTATGACATATCTAGAGCTGCTGACAAGTTCAGGTCTGGACATGTTATTGATTGTAATGATTATTAATCAATAAATAATGTCATACATCCATTTCCTATCTGTGCCTTTACACCCGGAATGTTAATGGTCATCATTCACCAATCATCAGGTAAATCTGAGATTCGTACATGTTGAAACAGACGACTGTTGAATGGACTGGAACATAAGTATCAAGAGGTCAGTATCAATACTGTTTACTTCAAATTGCCAGAACATACTGAAAATTATTCCATTAACCGAACAGGATCAGGAAGAAATGAGTGCTTTGCAGAGCAGACTCCAGTAAGATGTATTTTGACACAATGTATTTCATGGATTTATTTTTAATTACTGCGGTAGCTTTTTTTTTTTTTTTTTTTTTTTTTACATAAAAATTTTAAACACAGATACAGAGCTTTACAAGATAATGTAAGAAAACCATCCATTTCTACTTGGGTAAAAGTACACATAAATTATATTTCAAACATTCATCTTAATAAATCATTAAACCATTTAAACATCCAAGATTTAATTAAAGGCAACTGGTGCTAAGAACAATTTGTTATTGGTTTATAATTCTGGGGAACTCATCATTTAGGCCTTGTACTATCAGGGTAATAAAATAAAAAATAAAAAAAGCAACCAACTTGTCTGCTCAAAATGTAATATAAGTACCCACTCTAAATACTGTAAAGTTAAAGAGGGGAAACAATTGCGACATACTGGAGGACAGCAGCACTAACCTAATTTGAGCTTGACACCACTGAAATGTGTTTTCTTAAATTGTCTCATTTTCAACAAAGTGAATATAAAGCTTGTGATAAAATGTAACATTGAGGGCCTAAATGCTTGGTGTCATGGTAAATAACAGTGACTTAAGGGCCTTGCGCGGGTTGAAATGGACGCATTCCTTGATCGTGGCCCATGTGATAAAGAGATGAACCACGTCGTTCACCTTTTAACATTTAAAATTTAAACATTTAACTCACATTTGTTAAAATGACCTGTGCGGGCCTGATCACATGCGCCTGTATTCGCTGCTTGGTATATTAAGCGCGTGTAAAATGGGATGCTGAATGGATACTGATACTTGTGTAAGGAGAAGTCGGCGTCCAGAGGCGGTGTAGATCTCCGCTGTCAAACATACCGCTGTCAAAACACTGCATATGACGGAACGCCAGCCTTTTAAACACTAGTTTGTTGGTTACCAAAACACTAGCCTTCCTTTAAAAACTATAGGTAGCTAAACTTTAGGCCGAGGCTATGTAAAGAAAACCTTAAATCATTCGAGTAAAAAAATGAATTGATGAAATGAAGAAAAAACGATCGTGTCTTATTTTAGTAAATAAAGTAGCCTAAATACAGGCCTTGCTTGATTTTTTTTTTGTCTTTGCTCTCCCTGAAGAGAGCGCACATGAAGGGATGAAGAAAAACAACGTGTGCTCCAGGGCCAAACTCTGCGCGTCACGGGACATTCCCACGCACTTTCCTCGCGGTGAATGCGGCCCACAGTCTCATTAGTCAGAACTAAAGAAGACATTAGCGCTTCCATTATTAAACCACTTCAATGAAATTTGACTTGGACAAAAACACAGAGGCGTGTGCTCATTCAGTCATATTTAATTCACTGCACCACTGCACACTGCACAATAGATATTTACACATTTATATTTTACATATTTTACATTTTTTTTTATTTTATTTTATTTTTTACAAAAAAGTTGTTTTGTATAGTATAAAAATATAGGCTATTCTTTTCATTTCTGTCGGAGCGCGATAAAAGGCACTACAAGGCGCTGCATGAGCAACGCCATTCTTAGCCAGTTTATAAAGTTTTTATACGCTTGTCCCCACAAGTACTTGGTGCCGATGCGCGCTATGAACAAAGCGCGCTCGAGCCAGATGAAGAAGAAGACGCAGCAGAAGATTTGCGTTCCTTCTGTCGCAGGTGAATCTTCGTATGCCGCTTCCGCTCATCGCTGCGCGCAAACTTTCGTCCGCAGAAGTCACAGGCAAAAGGCTTCTCACCCGTGTGCGTGCGAATGTGGGTGGTCAAGTGATCACTTCGACTGAAGTTGCGCATACATATGCGGCACTGAAAGGGCTTGTGTCCTGTGTGGATGCGTATGTGACGCGTTAGTTCGTCAGAGCGGGAGAAGCGGCGGTCACAACCTTCGGCTGGGCACGGGTATGGCCTCTCGTGTACTGGGGTTTTGCTGGGCCGGTTGGGATATTTCCGGGGCCGCAGAATGGGCCGAAGAGGCAGGTTCTGTGGGCTGTAAGCAGAGGGCAGTCGTGAGCCTGCCTCAAGGCCTGCAGGTGCCCCAAGGGTGAAGTTCCTGATGGTGTTCAGCGGGGTCAGTGGTGGCGGCACGCGGAATGTGTCTAACGGACATGGTCCAAAGGGCTTTCGTTCTGGGAGTTCTCGCTGACATGTGGGTTGGAAGAAGCCAGTGTAGTCCGGAATAAGGGGGAATAGCCCTGGGTCTGCAGCCGTGGGCTTTGGAGAGGAGTAGGAGGGTGGTGGGTAAGACATGGGCCCGGAGGGTGCCAGAAACGCTGATGGGTCCTGGAACTCCCCACAGGTGGAGGATGTGTATGGTGGTGGTGGGGAGTACATCTGCTCCTCAGGCTGAGTCTGTGCCATGCTGCAGCTTTGTGCACGGGACAAGTGACCGGGAGAGCGCGAGGATGGCGAAGAGCATGCGGAGGAGGAGGGGGGCGGAGGCTGCGCCACGTTGAAGATCCCTGACACAATGTTAATGACCCCCTCGGGGCTCCATGAGCCCGGGTATTGAGAGTCAATGGAGAACTTGCCCATGTAGGTGAATGTTTGACGGGGACCCGGGGCCAAAGCAGGGGCCAGCCCACTGTAAGACAGTCTCTCTGCAGAGTGGTCCAGAAGTGGTTCTGTACGAGGCAAGACAAAGTTCAGAAGGTGTAGCTCAACACGTCTTTCTAAAATATATATTTAAATAGCCCGTACATATGCCCAACAATTCGAAAAGCTCTGATTCCACTTCCTTCCATTTCATTTTCATTATGGACAGCATATTTTTGAATGCCTCTTACCTGTGGTGGTCGGATCGTAGTGGCCCAACTCGCTGCTGAAGGGGGCGGTGGAGTGGAGGGCGCCCGATATGTCTTCCATGGAGTACACGCTATCTGGCCCTGAATGAGCGTAGCTCCCTAGGCTCACAGCCACTTTGTCCAGGGTTTTTGCGGTCATGGTTTCCGCTGAGCGCAGGTGCGTGTGTGCGCTGTCGGTGGAGAGCTTTGGGTCAGTCCCGGAGCGCACGACGATAGTGAGATCAAGAGCAGGGCCTGCGTCTCGCTTTGGTTTTAAGGGAATCCTTTTCAACATGTTGACACGTCATTGCCCTTATAGGGAGTGGGAGTGGCGAGAACTTACACTCTGTGCATAGGCGCTGCAGCCTCTCATTGGTTGATCTCTGTGTGACGTGGCCAGACATAGGTTGTCAAAGACCTGCTCCAGACTCCGTGCAGGCTTCAGACAAAATCAAGCTCTTCGGCAGTCACAAGAACACGTCCTTTTATCCAAAGACTTTAAAACTCTTATATTTGCCTACTTGTTCAAACGAAAGATTCCGGGTTTGACTTACCATAAAAGGTGTGATCCGGTGCACAAGGTACACTTCACTGTGCTATATTTGGCTTTGTTCCGGAAAGTGATGCTCGGAAAGTGTCACTCAAAGCGACCACAGGCAAATGATGCGGAGCGGAATCTCCTCAGAGGAAAGTGCGCGCGCGTTTTCACTCCACGCGAGGAAATTACTGTTTCAGTCAAAACAGTTACAATTAGAGCAGGTACGGAGAGCAGTGGGCAGCGGGGAGTAAACACGGATGAACTTAAAATAGCCTATATCCGTAGATATATGCAGGCTGAGTATAGGCCTTCTGCTAGACATATGATGGCAGTATGGACAAAGTCTACATAAAAATTCTGAAAAACGCTACATTAGCTGCAGAATAGCCCTATATCCTTTATATAAATACGACATTTGAATGCACTGATAAGCCTGGGAGGGAGAGAGCGCCCTCCCGCGGTGCGTCATGACACTGTCTCCTTGGTGCACACAGTGTAAAGTCCCTTCGTGGGAGGACAAGTTGACAAACAGAAATGTGGTGGATTTTTGTTTCCACTCAGTGTTTGTACCTTAATATAACTATGTGGTGTATGCAAACAAGTTGACATAGCCAATTTCTAAATAAAGATACAAACGGGTTCGCCCCCCGGTGTTAAATAAAACTCCAACAACATACTGGACATGTATGTTGATAATAATTTTGAATTCATTAGTTTCACTTTTTTCAAAATCAGAACGACCAAAATTGGAAGTAGAAGTCGCGGACAAAGCAGTCTAGATTTCAGCCACAGCACTGTCCCGGCGGTCACACCCTCCGAGCATCCATCAGCCTCGCGCCTACACTCCCGTCAATAACAGGCTTCAACGAACACGCGCCTCCACCTGAGAGGGAGACCTGATAGAGGAGAAGATAGACGGAAAAGAGGAGAGAGATGGGGATAGAAACAGAAGAAGAAAGTTTAAGGAAGTGGGGAAAATACTAACTCTGTGACCTCTGAACATTCGGGAGATCTTGGCAGTACAGAGCTGATAAATAGGTCACCATATTGAACTGTGAAGAAGAAGCTGTACGTTATGGAAGGGTATCACATGAATAAAAGCGGAATAATATATATTTTTAAAAAGCATAAACATGTGTGTATAATTAGGATTATACATTATTTAATATTTTTTCTTGTCAAGGTTTGTGTTACCGAATTTTCCACTTGGAGCACTTTGTCAGACAGCAGCAGAGGGAGGCTCAAGGTTAAGAGAATAAAACCTGCCTTTGGTTCAGTCCTGAATTACAATACGCAGAATGGTGACATAGTAATAATGTGATTCCATTATGACCTACCACATTCATAAAACATGAATGACATCTCTGATGAAGTGGGCAGAACAGTGAAGCCAGTAGAGAAGTACTGACATTACGCAGCAGCAGCTGGGTTAATGCCCTGCTCAAAGGCACTTCAGTAGCA